GGATGTGGAATTTTCACTCATATCTGAGTGCTCCTGTGATTTAGTGAGCCAGAGCATACAGTTATCCACCACATTTTGGCCAAAACAGCGCAAAAACACCGATCAGAATATCTTCGTTGATTTTCATTATAATTATGAATTTCACTGAATTACGAACATGTCCCCCCCTAGCTGCTCGTTGGGGCGGTAAGAGGGGGGACAGTCCCCCTAAAAGTGTTCGGTTCGGCGGGGTGGGGGGACAGGGGACGAACAGTAGGTCGGAAAAGTACAGTAGAGTCATAGCAAGTGTAGCTGCGGCAGTTATTGGGATGCGAGAAGTGTATACGTAGGAGGTTTACTGTCACGCTTTGTTGCTGTCACACATAGCGACAAAACGTGTCTGATAATGTCAAATTAGATGTATGTACAACGTGAGCAGCGTGCTACGACGAAGGGAATTTGTCTAAGTCGACGAGGACGCGTTGAACGAGAGTGCGGCGCGCGTCGGAGCGAGCCGCGAGCCGCGATTCTGGTTGTGTCCAGAAAAGGCAGTTGGTTGGGAGAGCTCACCACCCGTGTAGCTGTGGTCTTCAGCCCAGCATTCTTGATTCACCTTCCCTCCCCTCCTCTCTCTTTCTCTCTAAACACTTCAATATCATCCTCAAGCACTTAATTCAAGTATATTTCTCAAGTATATTTCGAGTTTCTGAGCTCTAAAGAGCCTCAGAATTGGCTAGAATGTTCAGGTAAGCTTGTGTGCCTGAAAACCAACATGACTACCTCCTCCCTCTCCTTCACCTCTCCCCCTCTCTCTACCATTCCAACTCATATCTAACATCTCATTCCTATCCATATACTTCATTTCTAGAAAGTTTGGTTCAATTTGGACCATGGGTTGGCCCTGGGCAGTAAAATGGCATGTGGCCCATCCTACCCCCTTCCAATTTCGCCTTTTTCTCTTTTCTGGAGATGATGCAGAGTTCTCTGATGGATTGGAAAGGACCTGATAGGTGAGTACTAATGTTTCTAGCTTTAATTTCGCTTCTGAGAGCCCCAGAAGTTGTGTTACAGGTCCATGTTGGTGCCACATCACCCCTACCCTCCCTCACCTCCTCCCCATCCATCCAGCCCTTCCACTAACCCAAACAACTTTTGTGTCATCATTCCCAGACTCCCTCTATACTATCCAGCTGTCCCCATCCCTCTCCCTCCACTGGTTCACTCACAATAGCCTACTGCCCTGCCAGCCTCCCAAGCCCAACACCCAGCCCAGCTCTTCCTAGCCCTCTGGCTCAGGTTTTCTGTGTTTGGAAAGTATCTATGAACCTATATGAGTTTGGCCATGGTGAGATCTTGCTTATTTATCCATTCATTCCTTTTCTATGGCCACCCTCTCCTCCTATCCCTTCCCACCTCTTCCTACCCCTCTAAAGTAGCAGGAACCTTTGATCCTGCTCTCTTTTCTATCTGTACGCTTCCCTAGCCTATCTATCTACATGAGATATCCCTCCCTGTCCCTATTCCTGTACTGTAGAGTTTTATAGAGCCTGTATTTTATAATTAGAGTAAAAATGCGAAATATATTCGAGTTCTACCCTTTCCTGTAGTTTTCCTGGTGTGATCAGAGGTTGTATGAGTAAGGTATATGTATATGAAGCTCAACAGCTCATATTTGAGATGGTCCAGCTGCAAAAACAAGTGCAGGACCTGGGGGAAAGTAGGGCCACACCAGGGCCACAAAATACGAAAAAATCGAGATAAATTAGTACAGGCTATAGATTAGGGTCTAATAAAATTCTATTTAGTAGATTTATACTGTAGGTACATGTACTATATACATAGTCAGGTCAGAACTGATAATATGTTGAGGAAGGAGGGAGGTAGGGCTGAGCTACAAGGGCTAGTGTCATAGGCCAAGGCCGAACAGGAAACCCAAGTCTAGGGCAAGAAAAGCCGAAAAGGCAAGCCCATTAATAATAAATGATGGGCAAGCGTCCAGATTAGGAGAAGCCCAGATCATCAGACAGGTCCGACGGCTTCCCTGGCTGAGTAAGCAGAAGAAGCAAGGAAGTACTGCCAGGTAACAACGGAGGGACTCCGCTGGAATTACAATGTGATGGACGGGACTTCTGGCTTCACATTGTAATGTCCCTGCACGTTCTGGTGCCGCGAAACCCCGGTATCTGGCGCCACCCAGCAAAAGCGCGCATTGGCGACTGCGTCATCGTCTTCCACCTCGACTCCGGTGTCTACTTCCCCCGTCGTTGCTTCTACTTCCCCAGTCACTGCTTCTACTTTCCCTGTTGTTCCTTCTACGGAACCCGTCGCTGACCCCGATGTCGACCCTATGGAGAAGATCCTGGATGAGTTCTCGTTTACTATGAGGATGCCAAAATCCACGCCGGAGGAACGAGCGGCGCGGCTTGCACACTACAACAACTTCCCGTGGATGCACCCTGGTTATGCACCCTCCCCCTCTCCCGAGCCTATTCCTCCTCCCGAGCCTACCCGGCTGCAAACGCCTCCTCCGCCTTCCGCCTCCACCTCCACCTCTACCACCCCCACAGACGCTCGAGGTAACCTCGACAGCGGTACCGCAACCACTCGCAATTCTCACGACGCCAACATGCATCTCGATGACCATGTTCTTCGCCCTACTCCACCCCCGGATCCCCATCATCCACCCACATCCCGCTCCTCTATCCTTGTCCCTCACGATCATCCCTCCCTCGACAACCCTCACCCAATCTACTCATTCGCGAAGTGCACAAGTGCTCGTGAGAAGGAATTTTACGAAGCGATCTTTCCCTACCTGCAACATACTGGTCTTGGTCCCCTTTTCGGTGCTCTCACAAGTCGTCTGTATATCTATGAAGAATTCTGTGGTTTTGCGGTGCGTATACACCTTCCTTACCTTTATTTTTTTGCTCATTCTTTTTACTATCCAGCCCTGTGGGGAGACTCTCGGTGGCACGGACCAACGACACCCGGAAATTGGACGATGGATTAAGAGCAGACGCCCCACAACATTCACCCCGATGTTTGTGCTTCCCGATTTTGAAGAATGTTGGTGGGACTGGTGGTGTGCGATCCAACCAGAGGATCGTCGGATTGAGGGGAACCGTCCGTGCTTCGAGGAGAAGAACTCCATTGATTGGGAGAGTTTGAACGTTTGGGGACTGAATGGTATAGTTCTCATTGTGGTTGCTCTTTCATGGTGGGGTTGGGCTCTCAATATAGGTGGCACTCCCCGAGAGAGTACGTCTTGGCCGGATGCTGTTCGGGATGTGGTTTGGGTCTTGTGGGAGCTCGAGGTGATGTTGTCGTTGAAGAGAGACTTGGGAGATATGGACGAGGAAGGCGATGGTGAAGAGGAGACGATTGTTACGCCCCTGTCGCCACGCAGGGGCAAGCGCAAGGCCACCGATGATGATTCTGAGAAGGCGGTTCTGAAGCGTACGAGACGTACCCGCTCTGAAAACGAGAACACCACTCCGTCCCACCCTCCAACCTCTCCTCGCCGGACGCGCTCTCGCCGTGGTTAATCTAAGCTTCCCCGCCTTTGTTGACATACTTTTTTTTCGATATTTCTCATCTCCATGGCCTTGTTCTCCGTCCATGCACCATCCCCTCCCTTTCTTTCTCGTTCCTCCCATGCGCTTGCGTTTGTTTATGTGGCACTTGTGGCCCCGTTTACATTTTTGGCTCCCTTCTTCGATTTTTTGATGTCCTTTATCCCTTCCATACTCCCCCTTCCGATTCCTTGCCTCTTGAAATCCTTCTATTTGTTGCTTCAACTTTGTTCTATACATTTAGCATGGCAAAATATAATTCGCAGTCGCTGGTTCCTCGTGCTCCCCCTTTCTACCTTGTGCTCTTCAGGCTAGATGTAACGACACAGGTACTACATTCCAAGAAACAGGTAGCTGAGCACTGGTTGAAAAGGTGCTGATTTACCATTCAGCATGTGTCGTCTGGGCTGATAATGACCTTGGAGACTCTGCTTTAATACTTCGCCCAGTCGTCCAACGTTCGATTGTAAGTCGGTATGAGTATGAATAGAAAATCCAGATCCAACTGTTCAAATAGGGATGATGTCACGACCGGGCAATACGGGAGTGGAAGTACCCCACGGCTCAAGACGAAATAATCGGAAAAGCGGCGGAAAAAGGTGATGGAGGAGTGAGTATATTAGAAAGCCCAGGAATAGACGATCTACAAAACTGAGGAAATACATGTGAGTGCTACGAAGTATTTATACGAGTCTGAGATCGCCCCAACAGTAAGTAGAACGAAAAGCAAGACGAATATTCAAGAGTGAATCAAAGGAGAAAGACAAATAATCGTACACTGAGTTCGTGCCCTAAGGAGAACACTAAGTAACTCGAACAACGTGTCTGTAGCATGTAAACTAAGGAGCCCAAAGGGAGACGAAAAGATAAGACGAGTAACGAAGCTAAGAAAGAGGAAAAACCCATCTAGAGAACAATGGGTACAGCTAGTTCGGGCATAAACAATTTAATCCTAGAACAGTCAGGCAC